CAAAAGGACAGCAACTTGTCTGTTCCCCTTCCCCTAATTCCCCAGCACTGTTCCCATTCCCCCAATTCCCCAATAAAAATCTTTTAAAAAAAAAAAGAAAAGAAAAAACAATTCATTCATGTAGTGTGGATCAATAGTCTGTTCTTTTTATTTCTTTTTATTTGTTTTTATTTTTTTTAATGTGTGTATTTTACATATTGTAATTGTTTAGAATGTTACATAGATAAGTATATTATATTAAGTAACTGATTTATGTTTTGTCTATATTTTTTAAATTATTATTAGTTTCAGGTGTACAAAACAATGTAATAGTCATCCTTTTCACCCCTCGCAAATTGGTAGCCCCCCCACCCCCGATATCATACATATCTATTGCAATTCTATTGAATCGTCTGTTCTTTTTTATGGCTGAATCATATTCTGTTGTCATATGGATATACCATCAATTGTTTACCCATTTCTGTTGATTGACATTTTGATTGGTCCTAGTTCTCAGCTATGAAAATAAAGTTTCTATGAACATTCATGTACTAGTCTCTGTATGGACGTATGTTTACTTTCTCTTGGGTTGTACCTAGCAATGGAATGGTGGGGTCATATAGTCGGTGTGTATTTAATTTTTTTAAGATGATGACAAACTTTTCTAGAGCGGTTGTACCATTTGACATTTCTATCAGCAGTGTATGAGAGTTCCAGACTCTCCATTTCCTCACCAACACTTGGAAAGTTTATGTAGGAAAAATTATAATGTGTTACAAAACCCCCCAAACTCCCCAACAGTTTTCTAAAATCCAAGTAAAACACATTAAGTCCCTAGACAAAAAGAGTGAACTGTATTGTTTGGGCATAAAAATCTTCCAAAATTGCTCCTTTGTCACCAAAAACTAACATGGTTACTTTGTGTTCAAAGAGCCCGTGATGCTTTTCTTAGAACGTCGCAGATGCACATCACTTTTGTTGATGATTTTGAAATTTTCTACCAACTGTATTTGGAATGTAACTCAAGGTTTCCACACAGATTGTTTTAAATGTTGCATTATATTTTTGAA